TTTTCTTGCAGACTCACCTGTATTCATTAATTTGCTAACACATCTACCACAGCAGCAGCTCCATTTCTGGACCTTGTCTAATTTTTTTCACCTTCTGAGACCATGAGGTGGCTGAACCTAAAATAAGGAGCCCCTGGGCCAGGTGCGGTGGCTCACACCTCTAATCCCAGCACTTTGGGTGGCCGAGGTGGGTGGATCACAAGGTCGGGAGTTTGAGACCAACCTGGCCTATATGGTAAAACCTCATCTCTGTTAAAAATACAAAAATTAGCCAGGCATGGTGGCACACGCCTGTAATGCCAGCTACTCGGGAAGCTGAGGCAGGAGAATCGCTTGAACCCAGGAGGCAGAGGTTGCAGTGAGTCGAGATTGTCCCACTTCACTCCAGCCTGGGTGACAGAAAAAAAAGGAGCCCCTAACAGACATACCAATAGACCATAGCTTTCTCCCCTAGCGTCCATGTAGTTTCTGTGTTATTGTTCTCCTTTATTCACTCTCTTCCCTGTAGGAGGTTTATACTTTCCCCACCCACTGCCATGTGACTTGCAGTACTCCCTGAAGAAGTGTACTTTTCTGCCCTCTTGACTTCAAACTTGGTCATGTGACTGACTTTTGCCAGTGGAATGTGACACACAATATCTGTGTGCAGAAGCTTTAAAAGACTTTGCATGGTTCATTCAGAGTGCTCTTTTCCCTGAGCCATGAGACCTGCATCTCAGGTTGCAGAAAACATGTGGAGTAGAGGTATAGAGCCTTCACTTTGCTGCAGTAACAAATAAAGTGAGTGAGAAGTGGACCTCCATAAGGCACTGAAAGGTTGGGGAATATTTGTTACTGTAGCCTTACCTAGCCAAAGCTGACTGATACACCTTGCCAGCATTCAATACCATGTTAAGAAATAATTTTCCCCAGGGACTTGCCATGGATAAGGGTCATATAGCAGTAGAGCTTGCTGGAGAGTATGTTGGTTTTCATATATTGATATGAAGGCCATGGATGGTCCCCCTTTTCTAAACATAACATATGATGGATGTGTCAGAAACCTTTAGAAGAATGTATCCAAACCACAGAAGGATCACAGATGCTTTGCAAGAAAAAAAAAAGAGGTTTAAGGTTCAAATAAGCTTGGAAACACAGGATTTGATAAAGTTAAACTGGTTTCTTTCCAGCAAGACTTCTCAGAGCCTTTAATCTGCTATCATGCATTGTGAAACTCCAAGAAAAGAGGGTACATATAAATTTACTGTTTTCCAAAATTGTTTGATCATAGAGAATTTCATGGGCTTAACACTCTGCAAAAAAGTTGGCAAATGTTGCCTCTGGTGGCAGCAGAATTTTGCATATTTCTCTTGTATTTCCCGTCTCTTCTAACCATATTTTACACCGCTTGTCTTCTTCTTCCCCTCATTTGTCTTCTCTTCTCTTCACCCACCTGTTCTTCTGCCTCTACCTGCTCTTCCACATCCTCTCATTACTCTACCTTTGCTTCCAATTTCTCCTTCTCTTTCCCTCCCTCTTTTCTTTCTTCTCACCTCTCCTCCCTTTCCTATTGTTCCCTTCTCCCCTCTTTTCACTTTCCTCATCCCTTTTCTCTTGCTGTCTTTGGCTTTTCAAGAAGCCAGTGAGTTTTCTTGGACTGGATGACCCAAGGGGATGTCCTGCCTGATTGACAGGTGTCATTCTTGAACAGGAAAGCCAGTGATGGTGCTGCCTGCTCTTCCCAAGTGTGGTGTCAATTTTAGAGTGATGGGCTTTAACATCGCATCAGCCTCCTTAAGGGCTGATCCTTTGTTCTAGATTCAGACAAAGCAGCACAGTCGGCCTTAAAAGGAAAAAAAAAAGCTGTTTCATTTTATATTGGAAAAATACAATGTGACATCTGGAGAATAAATTGTTCAGTCAGCCAGAAATACGCCTTGTAAAAATTGCTTAGGTTTCTGTAACAAGATTATTTACTGCGAGTGTTCACCTATAATACAGCACACTTTTGAAATGGACCTTTTATGAAACACATCAAGAACTGTAGAAATGTATTCAGTGCATTAATCTACAACACTGCACACTTTACCACACTTTTAGAGCAGATTTCAAAACTCAGACCATCTAATGAGATAGAAAAAAGTTATTCTCGTCCTGTATTCATTCCAGTCATGTTCTACACTGAGCCCTTGGGATATTTAACATAATGCAATAGGTTTTTCAACATACACACACCCACACACACACTCACACACACTGTCACACACACTCTCATGCACAAACAAAATATATGACTGTTCAGATGAGTATTCAGTTTAGAATGCACTAGGCCCATATTTCAACAGCCCACGTGCAAGGCAAAGGCTGGCTATTTCAGATACCAGAACTTTATAAATATTTAAAGAACTTGATTTAATCCAAATGAGAGATCGCTCAGGTGCTGTCAGTTACTTACATAACTCCTTCTTTTCTGATCAGGGGGTGACAGTTTGGATAGCGATCTCCTGGAAATTTGAGGATCTGACTCCGTTGGAGTCTGGCAACTGGGATCAGGCCTGAGGTAGCTAAAGCAGGTGGATTGTGGAGAAGTGGGTCAGGTGGGGGAGGCAGAGAAAAGACTGCTGCTTTTCTGACCTTGGCTCTTTTTTATGTATTCTGATGACAGCAATAAATTCTTCTAGCTGGGCAGCTCAGAATATGTGATTCAAGCCCTTCTACCTCAAGGTCAACTCAACTGTCCCTTTGGTTCAGTGGATATCAGCTCTAGAAGACAGAGAACAGAGACCCTGCAAACTGGTCCTCCACCAATCCAATGAGAGGCCCAGACTCTCCACAAAATTCATCTTGGCCTCTTGACCTTAATGTTGTTGCTGGGAGAGCTAACCTGAAGGAAAGGAGCTAGCACAGAAATTCAGGAGAGAAGAAATAGAACCATCCCCAAATTCTCTCTCTAGCATCAAAGATAGACTAATTTCTCTGCTACCACTTCCCATCCTCGTGTCATTACCACACTACAAAAGTTGCGTATACTCAAGGTAGGGCTAGTGGCAATTGTGCATCTTCTGCACCTTGGAGGATGGAGTGCTGGAGACGGCTTGCCTAGCCCTGCTTCCTAAGTCTCTCTCTCTCTCTCTCTTTGAAACAGGGTCTTGCTCTGTCACCCAGGCTGGAGTGCAGTGGCATGATCATAGCTCACTGCAGCCTCAATCTCCTGGGCTCAACTGATCCTCCCAACTCAGCCTCCTAAGTAGCTAGGACTACTAGGCCTGGCCAAATATTTTTTCTTTTCTTTTTTTTTTGCAGAGGCAGTCTTGCTGTGCTGGTGCCGACCTCCTGGCTTCAAGCAATCCTCAGCCCTGAGGGTCTCTTCTCTTCTTTAATTTATTAATTTTTATTTTAACAGTTTTGGGGGGTACAGGCGGTTTTTGGTTACATAATTAAGTTCTTCACTGCTGATTTCTGAGATTTTAGGGCACCCATCACCTGAGCAGTGTATCCAATATGTAGTCTTTTATCCCTCAACTCCCTTCCCCGCTGAGTCCCCAAAGTACATTATGACATTCTTATACCTTTGCATGCTTATAAATTAGCTCCCAATTATAAGTGAGAACATATGATCTTTGATTTTCCTTTTCTGAGTTATTTCACTTAGAATAATGGCCTCCAACTTCATCCAATAATATCTGAGAAAGATATTATTTCTTTCCTTTTTATCACTGTATATAGACCACGTTTTCTTTATCCACTTGTTGGTTGATGGGCACTTAGGCTGGTTCCATATCTTGGCAATTGGGAATTGTGCTGCTATAAACATGCACATGCAAGTGTCTTTTTCATATAATGACTTACTTTCCTTTGGGTAGATTCACAGTAGTGGGAGTGCTGGATCAAATGGTAATTCTACTTTTGGTTCTTTAAGAAATCTCCATACTGTTTTCCATGGTGGTAGTACTAGTTTATGTTCCAGAATAAAAGTGTTCTGAGAGCCTCTTCTTAATGGACTTCAGCATTTTCCATTTTTGTTTTTCTGAGTCTCACACTCTGGGAAACTACCAGCGTCCTTGAGAAACTTTCTTCTTCTCGTTGCTTCCATCCTTTCATGGAAATGTTATCTTCACTCTTTGTGGTCCAACTCAAGACACTTGTCCTCCTTCAAACCTTCCATGATCCTCTGGCTCCCCCTAATTTTTCATTTTTTGCTTTTTTTGAGGCAAGGTCTTGCTCAGTGTGTTGCCAAAATTGGAGTGCAGTGGTGTTTTCTATCATAGCTCACTATAGCCTTGACCTTCTTCAAGTGATCCTTCCACGTAAGCCTCCCGAGTAGCTGGGATCACTGGTACACAACCATGGCTGGCTAATCTTTGTTTTTCATAGAGACTGGGTCTCTCTGTGCTGCCCAGGCTTATCTTGAGCTGCTGGGTGCAAGTGATCCTCTATCCTTGAGCAACCAAAGTGCTGGGATTACAGGAATGAGCCACCACAACTGGTCTTCATTATTGATCCTCTCATGTAATCTATTGGACTGTGCAGTCTAGAAATCAATCAGACATACCCTTACCTTATTTTTTCTAGCACATTTTTTCCTGTAGGTTAAGCGGAGGCATAGGGGATAGAAAGACAAGTGCACCAAGAAGAATCAAACTGAGATTCTAATTTTCCCTCCCTTACCATTTTTATTCATCTTGTGAACGTTGGGCAAGCACCTTAACCATTCTGAACCTCAATTTCCTCACCTATCAAAAGGAGGCATTTCTTATATTGCTTGTCTCATCAAATAGTTATTAGTATTAAGTGAATTAATTGAGTAAGAACAATTCACAAACTGAAAATTCTGGAATGTATGTGAGTATCAAAAATACTTAGCTGCTTGTCTTACATTTGCTTTTATTTCCCCCACAGAAGCTAGAAAATGGTTGAACACACAGTAGGAAATCAACAAATATTTGTTAATTAGAATGTCTGTTCATTCTTCATACCCCAGGGCACCCTTCACCTGTTCTGGCTTCTGGAAGGTCTACGAAGATACACAGAGCAGGCCCTAATCAGGATGGAAAGGATTTGATGACTGCATCTGTACTTTTCACAAAGATTCAGAGAGGTGGGTTTAGGTTTTCCTTTACAATTTTCTAAGAGCCTAAGTTGAAAGCTTTGTTATGGAAGATTCTCTGGAAAGATTCTGGATGGGGCTTAAAATTAAAACTTTAACACAAACTCTGAGATGATCTTTTCCTTTCTTTCAGGAACAGAGAATACTAACAAATTAGGACCACCGTTTGATAAGCCAGATGTTATTTCCTGTAAGATTGTGACATGTCTATACTACAGGTGAGAAACATCGAACATTTTTGGGAGAGCCTGTCTCAGTCTGTTTCGTGTTGCTGTAACAGAATACATGAGACTGGGGAATTTATGAAGAACAGAAATTTATTGGCTTACAGGTCTGGAGGCTGGGAAGTTCAAGATCAAGGTACTGGCATCTTGTAAGGGCCTTCTTGTTTTGTCATAACCTAGCAGAAGGCATCACATGGGCTCAAGAGAGGTGGGGAGGAGGCTGAACTCATCCTTCTATAAGGAACCCACTCCTGCAATAAAGGTATTAATCCCTTCATGAGAGCAGAGCCCTTGCGATCTCATCACCTCTTAAAGGTCTCACCTCCCAACACTTCTGCATTGAGGACCAAATTTCCAACACACAAACTTTGGGGACACATTCAAACCATAGCAGAGCCCATTTGATTAAAAATTCAGTTGACTTACTCCTTGGTTTTGTATTTCTCCACAGATGACCCCTCCTTTGTGTTCTGAAGAGGGCAATGGATTTCACTGTGGACAACCTTATTTTCCTTCATTGCACTGGTGGCTTGGGAGAGAAATTTGGTTAAAAGGCCTTAACACTGGCCCTGAGGCTCAGAGTCACTCAGATGCTTGAAGATTTCATCTTTAGGCAGATGCTGAAATGTGTGTTGCGTCTGCATGTGGTTTGGCTATTAATATTTGGAGTAGTCAGGTGAATCCTTTCAGTCAATCTCAGCTGGTAGTTCTAGAATCTGCATCTCATTGTGGTATAAAAGAAATAATGTGCAGGCTGGTCCAGAGAGAAGAGATAGCATCAGGATTGCCATCCCCCATGGGAGATCCTGGGTTCTGCACCCTGGCTGAAGCAACTGTTTCCTCTTTTTCCCATGAACTGGCACATCTCTAAACATAAACTAATGTGGGGGAAGCTGCAGGCTCCAAACTGAAGCCCCATTCATAGAATTCACTCCATTTTCCTTAAAATGATGTCACAAGGGGTTTGAGAAAATCATATCTCAACATGAGCCACATTCATTGGTGAAAATTTCCCCTAAAATTTTTTTTAAGGCATTCATTGAAAGGCTTGTAGTTTTAAGGTTTTGTAATAATAACTATGGGAGAAATAGAAGCAAGTAAGATGTGATCCTCTTTTCAAATGACTCACCATCTGCAGGGGGAGATAGCTGTACAAATTAAATGAAGGCTCTAGACTAGCTGTTGTAAGTGTAGTAATACACGTGCAAGTGAAGTTCACTCAAAGAGCAGGGAGGAAGGGATATGGGAGGGCTGAGGGGTCTAAGAAAGCTTCTTGGAGGAGGAAGACAATCTAATGAGGACTATCCATGGTGATGAAACCAATAGCTTCAGTCATTACATTTTGGCCATGGTTTCAGCACCAGATTGATCAATGAGGCATTTGAGGAGTATTTGGCAAGCCAAGTTGGAAAAAAGGTCCTAGAGATGGGGTGTGTTCATGATATTTAGAAAAAGGAGTGGCAGGCACAGTGGCTCATGCCTGTAATCTCAGCACTGTGGGAGGTCAAGTCAGGAGGATTGCTTGAGCCCAGAAGTTTGAGACCAGCCTGGGCAACAATGTGAGACTCTGTCTCTACAAAATAATAATAATAATAGTAAAAATAAAAAGTAATGTGGCATGGTGGTGCATGCCTGTAGCTACTCAGGAGGCTGAGCTGGGAAGATTTCTTGAGCCTAGGAGGCTGAGGCTGCTGTAAGCTGTGTTCACACCACTGCACTCCAGCCCGGATAAGAGAATGAGACTCTGTCTCAAAAGATTCAGTCAATCTCAGCTGGTAGTTCTAGAATCTGCATCTCATTGTGGTATAAAAGAAATAATGTGCAGGCTGGTCCAGAGAGAAGAGATAGCATCAGGATTGCCATCCCCCATGGGAGATCCTGGGTTCTGCACCCTGGCTGAAGCAACTGTTTCCTCTTTTTCCCATGAACTGGCACATCTCTAAACATAAACTAATGTGGGGGAAGCTGCAGGCTCCAAACTGAAGCCCCATTCATAGAATTCACTCCATTTTCCTTAAAATGATGTCACAAGGGGTTTGAGAAAATCATATCTCAACATGAGCCACATTCATTGGTGAAAATTTCCCCTAAAATTTTTTTTAAGGCATTCATTGAAAGGCTTGTAGTTTTAAGGTTTTGTAATAATAACTATGGGAGAAATAGAAGCAAGTAAGATGTGATCCTCTTTTCAAATGACTCACCATGTGCAGGGGGAGATAGCTGTACAAATTAAATGAAGGCTCTAGACTAGCTGTTGTAAGTGTAGTAATACACGTGCAAGTGAAGTTCACTCAAAGAGCAGGGAGGAAGGGATATGGGAGGGCTGAGGGGTCTAAGAAAGCTTCTTGGAGGAGGAAGACAATCTAATGAGGACTATCCATGGTGATGAAACCAATAGCTTCAGTCATTACATTTTGGCCATGGTTTCAGCACCAGATTGATCAATGAGGCATTTGAGGAGTATTTGGCAAGCCAAGTTGGAAAAAAGGTCCTAGAGATGGGGTGTGTTCATGATATTTAGAAAAAGGAGTGGCAGGCACAGTGGCTCATGCCTGTAATCTCAGCACTGTGGGAGGTCAAGTCAGGAGGATTGCTTGAGCCCAGAAGTTTGAGACCAGCCTGGGCAACAATGTGAGACTCTGTCTCTACAAAATAATAATAATAATAGTAAAAATAAAAAGTAATGTGGCATGGTGGTGCATGCCTGTAGCTACTCAGGAGGCTGAGCTGGGAAGATTTCTTGAGCCTAGGAGGCTGAGGCTGCTGTAAGCTGTGTTCACACCACTGCACTCCAGCCCGGATAAGAGAATGAGACTCTGTCTCAAAAGAAAACAAAAGACAGGTGACTTGTTTCAGTAATATTAATACTTGAGAATTTTTCTCCTCTCCTCCTTCATATCTCCTTAGTCTTTATAATTCCTGGTGGCCACTAGCAGTTGGGGACTCTGATTTAGGTACTGTCAAAACTATCTGGGTTTCAAGTAACAGAAGCCAAATTAAGAAAGCTCAAGCAAAAAAATATAGATTTAGTAATAATATGAATGTCTCATGGAACCCAGGGTGAGGAACATATTTGAGTCTCAGGAGGAAACTGCTCTCAAAAACTGGGAAAGCAACTAGGAGTCCAGGCAGTGCTCCCACTCATCTCTGCTTCTCTCTGAGCATCTATGACTCTTCTCTTTACACAGCAATTCTTTCTGCTTCTTAGTCTATATAAAAAATACAATTGTTCCAGAGTGTCTAAGCTTTTACCATGTCCTTCAAAATCTCCCATTCACAGAGACTATGTGGTTATCTCTGAGTTCCTATTTTATTCACATTGCTGGTAAAGAGAATCGGTTTAAACTAACTTAAGCCATGTGTCTTGTCTCTCTTTGGTCCAATACATTTTGCCTATAGGGTGGCTGTCAAGATCCTATCTTTGTGGGCCGACATGATGTTCTTAAAACATAAAAGGATTGCTCAAAGCCTGGCCAGATCACCCCCTGCCACCCTCAGCTCTCAAAATAATATGCCATCTACCCCATCCTAAGCTCCTGTTCTGCAAGTGAATCACAAATCATCAGTTTAAGGAAAGCTCAGTTGTAGGAAGAAATAGAAAGAAAAAAAGAAGTCTGCTGATTTGAGATGCCATCCTTTAAGAAAACAGTGATATAAGCCTTCCTTTTTAATAAACTCAGCTTTCACCACACTGAAGTTGTGTTTCTGGTTGTTCCTACTGTGCATAAAAGGCTATTTTGCTTGGTATCAATAACTTCATTTTCTACCAGTCTTATTATCCTGCCTGACAGATGTTTATATGATGCTTCTGAACAAGGCAGGTTCAGGAAGGCCCTAGTAAGTCCAAACTCTTGATATTACACACAAGGCCATTTAAACTCTGACTCCTGCCTACTTCTTCTGCCTGAACTATTACCACACATCCTCTTTCAATGAATGTTCCGGGCTTTTATAACTGCTTCTAATCCCTGAAAGAGTGCATGGTGTTTGTGACTCCATGCCTCTGAACATCCTGTTTCCTCTTTCTGAAGCCTCCTTCCCGTCTGAGTCTCCTTCCCATCTGGACCTCCTTCCGATTAACTCCTATTCACCTGTTAAGAGCCTGGCTTACATATACCACGCCTTCCCTCACTTCCAGAAAGCTCTCCCTGAGAATGAGACTTTCTTTCTTTTCTGTCTGTCTTCTGCACTAAAATGAGATGATGAAGTGGCTTAACTCAACACAAAGTAGTGCTCCGAGGCTGGATACCTCCTTGCATGGCACCACCTTCCATTCTTCTCTTTTTATTTACTCACAAGTTATTCCCATATGCTAGACAATACTCCGAGCTCCCTTAGAGTATCTCTGTTCTGTTTATCTTCATATTTATTCCTCAGCAAACACACATCCTTGTGCAAGAAAGTGGTATAGCTTGGAGATTAAGCACAAGTCCTCTCATGCCAGATGAACATGCTGGGGTTCAAATCTCAGCTTGTCCAATCCTTAGCTGTAACCCTGGGCGATATCCTACCCTCTACATGCCAGTTTATATGACTATAAAATGATTATAATCATAAGACTTACCTGTAAGTGTTCTAATGTGGTGATTTAGCAAGGTAATGCATGTAATATAGTAAGCCTCAACAAATGTTGGGTACCATGCAAAAGCCTTCTGAGCAGAATTTCTCTTTTACTTGATGATTTAGAAGACACTCTGTTTCAACAACCAAAAATGTCTCATGCATCTTGACGTCCTTTACTAAAGACACTGATAAAATATTACTCAGTAGATGGGCTAAAGCGCTGGTTGCCAGAAGGTTCTGATTAATTAGAGAGTCTTTCTCTTACTACATTTTTTAAAGGCTTTGATTCCATTGCCCTTTTCCTAGATGGGGAAGAAATGAAAATCCAAGCAGCTTTGATTTTGCATCTGGGGATCTCCTTCGACCACCATGAGACTGTTGGATGAAATGTATACCTGGAGCTCAGGCGTCCCACTCCCTGCTTGCCAGTCAAACCTCTGCCCAGTTCATCCCAGAAAAATGCTCATCTCAGAACAATAGAGGAGCTTTTGCAACGTTCTAGAACTCTCAATTTTTCAAGCAGAACTCAGGACAGAGGGAAATAACCTATTATTCTGAAAGACAAAACAGAGGTTAGGAGAGGAAATCTGCCCTGCTCAACACACACATATGTTTATGAGCGATAGGAATTTTGGATTTTTTTTTTTTTTAAATACACCTATTTTCTAAGTCTGTGGTGACGGCTCTTCTTTCCAGATCTTACTGAGGGCTGTTCTCTAGGTGTCCCTACATCCTAAAAGGTACAAGAACTGAAGGCTTGCAGCTCCCCTGCCTCCCTTCTCATCCACTTTCTTTTGCTTTCTCACCAGTCCCTCAGGCACTTGGTCTTTGTTTCTTCTATTTTTTCATCTCAGTTCTCTCTGCATTTCTTCTCTCTGTATCTCCTCTCCCCAACCCTCTCTTTTCCTCTTTCCTTCCTCCTACCACCTTCTCCCTCAGTTATTCAAGAGGCATGTT